TGAACGTGCTTACATCGCTTCACGCCATTATTTGGAAATTATGATTTACCATTATTGTTCTTGGGAGGAATAGTGGAACGGTTTCCCGTAGCTTCCTCTTTTTCAATACTTACCAATCAAAGATGTGGTATACTCATACGCCTACTGTGATCAAGTAGAATATTTTCCCATGCCATCGCTTTCCCGGCCAAAATCATAGCCGATGTCATCCAACTGGTTTGAGGGCGATGTGGCCTTTGCTTCCACTCCTACCTACACCCTGGCCACTGACTTCAGTCTAGTAAGCCCACCTTCCGAGTGATTAATGCACTGGCTGGATACATAGCTATGTAACTCAGTCTGCTCAATAGTGCTAGGCGGTCATTAACTGTAGTAAGGACAGAACCAGTGAATAAACTTATACCAAAGCTTTATTGCAATTTACTCTAACTACTCGTCTACTGACGGATTGACAGGGTGCTTTTTATACCTTCAAATCTTAAAGGGAGGTAACTGATGATTTATCAGTACACACCCTTTTACAGGTCATGTTTGTAATCATTCTGGATGTCTAGTCATATTCCTCCCTGGTAGAAGAATCAGTTTTGCCGCTGGTACACAGGCCATAGGGCAGCCATGTAGTGCTGGGTTACATATTAGCAGTATCCCTCGTAGTCTGACTAAGCATATATATATATATATATATATATAAAAGTGTACATTGAAGTCAACACTCAGAGGCGACAGGCTGTTTCATGCTAGACGCAATCGTCTTTATATTTACATACGCTCTATCTCGGATATTGAGCACTTTATACCATAAATATAGCACACCTTAAAACTATATTTCTTCATATATATATATATATATATATATATTTCGATTATAGGTGCAGTTCAATTTATAATTACATGAATCATTCATACAAAAAACAAATATAAAGGTTAATGATTTAAATGGCGAGAATATATCTTCGCAAACAATTTCAATTAAGTACACTATATACATGTTCGGGGTTAGTGTATCTTATTGAAATTGTTTGCGAAGATGGACACATAAACACAAGCGAATGTAATAAAAATAATCAACAAAACGTAATTAAGTAATCAACAATAAATAACGAGTAAAAAGTAAGAACCCTATAAAATAGCCACAAATAACCGCATCTAGATCCATGATTATTCTGATTGAATAACCACGAGAATAACTTGAGACATAATTGTTACTGTCTATCTAATAACCGTTCGAATGATGCAATAGACTTTCTAATCATAATATAGGATTTTTTTAATAATAAAAAAAAAACACCACTAAAAAATAATTCAAAAAAATGTGAGTGGTGACATTAATTTATAAGCACACAACAAAGACAGACGAAACGAACTGAGTTTAAATACATACGAAAAATGTTATTCTTAACTCACAAAAAATAATCAAACAAATTAAGTGCTTTTTGTGTCAAATGATGGACAATAACATTATCTTAATATTTTGTGCTATCAATCTCATCGATTCTTTTATGACTTACCTCAGTGGTGGAAAGAAAGAGACGATTGTCCATTGTATAAAGATTCTGACAATATTTTATTATAAAACCCAGGTTGTGTGAGTGTGTGTCTGTTCGTTTATATATTGGATCGGATTTCCTACATTTTTCAACCGATTTCAACAAAACTTCACAGGACTACGTAAAATTACCAGCGGTGGTTCTGACAGCACCAAAAATTGGAAAACCTCAATTGTTTTTGCACGAAATCAATTTGAAAACACGATTAAGAGGCATCGCTATCGCGAGAATGGAAGGGGGACAACTGATATCGAGTTATACTTATTATAAAACCCAGGTTGTGTGTGTGTGTGTGTGTGTGTGTGTGTGTGTGTGTGTGTGTGTGTGTGTGTGTGTGTTCGTTTATATATGGGATCGGATTTCCTACATTTTCAACCGATTCCAACAAAACTTCACTTTTTTTGGCAGGTAGTGTTTCTTATTGTCTTGCACACTTTTTCTTTATTTTTACTTTCAGAATGCTTTAAAATTCCATTTACAAGACAATTGTTTATAATAAAATTCTATTCAGTCGGTAGACTCATAACGATTGAAAACAATGTTTTTTCTTTTGAGTTTGGGTTTGACCAATTCGTAAAAAAAAAAAAAAAAAAAAAAACTAATTAAGACATGCGTGTCCGTCAACCTTAAACAATAATCTTTTGTCAATTTTATTTTTTCAGTCTTTATGATGGTCGATACTTGATCTATCTCTTACTGTTACATCCCCGGGCAACACCGGGCTCTACTGCTAGTTATAAATGAAAATGAAATTTGCCTTTTTACAATTAAAAATTACAATGCTTCATAAAATTTTCTGAGAAAATAAAAACAAATAATGTGAAAAAGAAAAATACTTCTCTGAATAGTTTACAAAGAATAATTTGGCACAATTTTCGAAGCAAAGTTCGTGATAACAACGAAGAATAGATCAGGTACACCAGACGAAGTATTTTATTTGATCTGAGAACGACCAAGTTGTTCCTTTCAATTCACGTTTGGTAGTTGTCTAACTTCTTCTCTGTTGTTTTCTTTCTGGACTGAAGTGACCCGGAAGCTTTTAGCAGCTGTTTGCCAGAAAATTAAATCCAAGACCTTCCTTAAATATCGAACAAGCAAGCTCCAGATACACTACTCAGAATTTGAAGAGAAACACTTTTATCGGTTTTTGACGAAAAACACAGTTGATTTACCACTAATCAAGCGCCCATAACAGCTTTCTTTAAGACAGCATCTTAAATCTCTTATAACAATTATATATATATATATATATATATATATATATATATATAGTCGAGCCAAAACACAATACAGATGACCTGGCGATTGCGTTTAAGCATATAACAGGCAGTCGCCGATGGATTTTGACCTTAGTATCTATCTATATATATATATATATTTGTGTGTGTGCGTGTAGCGGAATATGCGTTGATAAAATGACGAAAGAAGCGAAACTTCAACACAGCTCTACAAATTTAAATATTTTTTTTATTATTCGAGTATTATCATTAAGAAATGAATTACAGAGATTCTTTGCCAAACAACTTCACACAGTTTTGTGTATCTTCTTTACACAGTTTTGTGTATCTTCTTTACAGTACAAACTAATCAATTGCGTTAGTATAGAAGAAACAGACTGCTTCTACATGTGAGAATGTGTGCGAAACGGATTTACGTTGTTTTATGTATGCGTGTAATTTGTAGCAGTCGCCAACTGAATAAACATTGAGTTGTCTTAATGCTACTGTTCTTGACAAATAACGCGACCCGTGTATTTTTATGTGTCAGGATTCGAACCTGCATACTATACGGAACCGTCATTGACGCTGACGTACCTTAACCGACTCGGCCACAAAGGACGAATAATTTCTATGAAAATTTCTCGGACATTCAGGCCGGCAAATGCTATTTAATATTGTTTATTATAAACAGAGCATTTACTTAAATATTTGTATCTATAAAAAAGAACGTTAAACATAAAAATGTCTTTAATAAATAAAATTGTCGGACTTTGTCCATTTCTTAATATATGACGTCATTTGTTTAAATTCGACCTTGCCTACCGAACGCTCCTTTGTGGCCGAGTCGGTTAAGGCACGTCAGCGTAAATGACGGTTCCGGTAAATGTTATTTAATACTGTTTATTATAAACAGAGCATTTACTTAAATACTTGTATCTATAAAAAAGAACGTTAAACATAAAAATGTTTTAATAAATAAATTGTCGGACTTTGTCCATTTCTTAATATATATATATATATATATATATATATATATATATATATATATATATATATATATATATATAAAAAAAAGGCTAAACACTAATATTCTATGGACATAATTTATTCCATTGGAATCGTAAATACGATCCAATTCATCAGACCTACAAATTCAAAAAGAAAACAGAAAAACAACTCCGGAAATAAAAATAGAATTTAGAGAGAGTGTAAGTATGAGAGTGTGGGACGAATGTTAGAGCTAAAGAGAGGGGTAACAGACCAGAGAAGGTGGGAGATGAAACCTTAAGAGAGAGAAGTTTTAGAGAGGTCAGTGGAAGAGGTTTAAGTGAGAGAATATGAATGTTGTCGGATGTCTAATACATTAAAGATACATTTCGTGGTGACATACACACACCATAGACGATCTAATCTTAAAGATCAGAATAAGAGGGAGGGAGAGGAAAAGAAAAGAAAAAAGGGTGGGGGAGAGAGATGGGGCAGGGGAAACTAAAACTGAAAGGCATTTACTAAAAGGGCCGCTGTGTAATTAAGAAAATTTGACAAAATTAATATCGACTACAGGTTACAAATCAAATATAAACATTCATATTTCTCTCTTATATACGGGTGTATATATTTCTCGGCTATTTATATATACGGGTGTATGTACTACCCACAATGCACCATTGACCCCTATATATAAATAGCCAAGAAAAATAACAGCACTCCTGGCCTGACGTTTGCGTGTAGCATGAAACAGACTGTCGCCTCTTAGTGTTGACTTCTATGTTCACTTATACATATATATATATATATATATATATATATATATATATATATATGTGTGGTTTAGTCAATGAATGAATGAATTTGTCACCCCTATATATATATATATATATATAGGTGTATTTTTATGCCATACACTAAGGATTTCACATGTGTGACAAATTCATTCATTCATTGACTAAACCAAAAAATTTTGAATGACGTCACTATAAGATGACGTCATTAATTATATGTAAAAAAACAAACTAAAATTCTAGACTTCATATTAATCTTTTATTGACATTTGTGAAAAAAACTATAATAAGCAGCAAGAAAAAAATTGCTGCTATTTCCCTTTTCTCTTAAAATATTTTATACAAAAAACAACTTGGGGAGGTGAGACAATTATTCACTTGACGACTGGACAAATCGAGTCATCATGGATGTTATCTTAATATTTTGTGTTATCAATCTCATCGATTCTTTTATGACTTACCTCAGTGGTGGAAAGAAAGAGACGATTGTCCATTGTATAAAGATTCTGACAATATTTTTAGAAGTTGTCATCATTGATGTCTGCTTATTGCAATTGGCCTTGTTGGACAGTTGTGACTACGATTTTCTGGATGAAACATTCCTGCCGACCGAGTACTTGTGCAGATATACAATTCCCTACGTAAAAGAGATCCCACCCGTGGCGTTGAAATTTTTTTATGTACATTTAGTGATTGCAGTAGCCAAGTCCGATATCGACACGAATCTTTGTAAGCTGAGTTTATGTGCCATCGTAATAGGAAGCGTTGGTTCTTTGATTCGTTTTTTTCATTACAGCTGGTGTGTTGTGCCCCCAATTTGGTGGATTGATCCGTTGCTTTTCGTACTTGACTTCATTGGGCAACGACCCATCACGCCCCTTTGCGCCACTCTAGAGCAGATGCCTACACCACTCACCTTGCAAATCCCACTTTAATAAATCAAAGTTTCACAAAACAAAGAAAAGCACCTTAATCTTCACTCATGGTTCCTTTGCCAGAAGTGATTTCATCCGATTCGGCTAATTCTTGTTCGTTAAAGAATCTCATCAGTTTAGCTTTCTTGGATTTCATCGTCGCTGTAAAGATTCGGCAATCTTAGTTTCAGAGAGAGAGAGAGAGAGAGAGAGAGAAAGAGAGAGAGAGAGAAATGAATATTTTCAAGAACTTTCAGTCGGCAAAATCAGTTACTGAAAAATTTCTATATCGTCCTCAGTTACTGGGTTACATTACAAACAAGTCTTCCGACAAAGATATATTGCAATCTATATCATTTACATAGCATCTTCTTTCAGGACATAATTAGTCATGGCTCTTCACAACTTCCTGTCTGTTTTTGTTATAAGTAACTTTAGCCTTGTTAACATCGCGCGTTGTTTTTCTTTTTTCCTTCTTTCTTTCTTTTTTCTTTCTTTTTCTTTTTTTCCTTCTTTTTTCTTTCTTTCTTTCTTTCTTTCTTTCAATCAGTGATTAAGTTGTTTGTTTCCCACTGCTTCTCTTGCCTTGAATATGTCTTGTAGATGTCTGCATGCCATCCTTTCTTTATTGTAGGCACCGGAAGTCTCAGCTCTCTCTCTCTCTCTCTCTCTCTCTCTCTCTCTCTCTCTCTCTCTCTCTCTCTCTGATCATTGATGGATGCTGTGGATACCCATGGACTGAGTAACCAGGAAAATGGAAATAAAAAGAAGAATTCTGCTTAGAATCAGAAAGAGACAACTGAAATCTCTAGAGTTTATGACAAGAAAAGAAAATTTGAGACACTAGAGGATATATTTAAGGCAAGAGAGATAGGGGAAAAGCCGCAAAGAAGCTTCCTAATGAACTTATCTAAATGGATCCCAGAACCTGAAGAAAGCCCTCATAAAGAAAAAAAGAAACCTTGCAAAATCTACAAAGGACAGGAAGTTGTGGGAAGCCATAAAAGTACACAACATATACTCACATATTCTGTCTCTGAAGATAAATATGGTAAAAGTAAGGTTATTTATTTCATAAAAAATACAAAATTGTGGCACAAGGCCGAAGAGGAAATGGGGAGAAGCTGGTCTTTATTAGCTATCCTAGTTCTAGTTAATCAGAATTACGACCCATTTATTCATTGAAATTTGACCATTCACCACAAGGATTCATCCATCACCACGCAGTCCTGCATATACCATAATACCGCATATTCACAGGGAACCTAGTCCTATGATGTAAAAATTTAATTTCATTGTACATAAAGTTCGTTTATATGAAAATTTCATGATTTATTAAATGATGGGTTAGGAAGATGAAACCAGAAAACAAATTAAAAATGAAACACAAGGATAAAAAACTAAAACAAAACACTATTAGTAGGACCCGTCCATCCCTCAAAACAAAGAAGAGTAGCTGCTGTATTCTGTCGATAGGCAAAATCAAGAAGAACATACTCACTAATGGAATAGAAAGGGTAAAAATAAATACGACAAAAGTAAGAATCCCAAGCAGAATTGGAACTATTTCTCATATTTTCCAGATCAGTAATCATTACGTCACATCGACTTTATTCTTTAGGACTACTTCTCAAGATTTATTTCGAATGATAAGAACATGGAATTGAGCTTACCATTTTCTTCCTTCTCTTTATTAACTTCCGTAAGTGGTAAGTGTTGTCTACACTAAAAACCAATTCCAGGCGTGTCTTTCGTATTTCTATTCTTTCCACAGACAATTTTGCCTTCTACGTTTCAGAAATCTTCAAAAATATCTCTCGACTGGGAACCAAGAATTAATTGATTTCTTTACTGGTAACACTGGCTGTGAAGTTTGCGACCGCGAAAATATAAAAATATTCAACGTCTGTAATCTGCATTGAAAGGCAGAACTGCTATTAACGCCACCCTTAATAGCGGTTGATTACTTAATCCAATTATCAGTCAACGAACATCCCCTCAGATCTTCTTTGTGGGTTATTTAAAGTCGAATCATATTTGGGGGTGGGATTATAGTAATAATATTTTACGGCTTATCAACCCTTACTAGGTTATTTAAAGCCAAATCATATTTTTTGCGGAGGTTGTAACAGAATAATTCTTTTTTATGGCCTCTCAACCAAGACTAGGTTATTTAAAGCGGAACCCTATTTGGTGGGGTGTTATAGCAATAATAATTTTTACGGCTCGTCAACCCTTACTAGGTTATTTAAAGCCGAATCTTATTTTTCGTTATCAAAATAATTCTTTTTATGGCTTATCAACACTTGCTAGTCTGTTAAAAGCTGAATCTTGTTTTTGAGGTTATAAGTATCATTGTTTTTTCCGCTAGTGAATATTGCAAAAACTTTTTTTCATAATAATACTTTTCTTCCAGATACAAGTTCTACTTTTTAATCCATAGGCGCGGGTGTAAATGTATTCATATTTTCCCTAAGTGTACTTGCCCATAAGGGAATGTCATGGACAGGGATGGAATTCGAACTCTGCTCTCCGGGTTCTCATTCAGAATTGATATCCATTTCAGCACTTACACATACTGAGAACCCAGAAAGCATACCACGTGCGGCGTTTACAGTCAGCACTAAATCAGGTAGCGTTAAACTTTTCTTCATCGGGGTTTCCATAATTGGTATCAAGTTAAGGATTGGTTTATATTTGGTAGTTCAGCCTAACTAAATCTTGAATGAAGATTAGTCCGGTTTATTTTAACAGCAGAAAATAACTTTAAAGTTCGATAGTTCAATATTTATTAAAGTTGCGCATTCAAAAAACAAGCCGAAATTGTTGTCAAGAGCAAAATTCATAACTTAGTATCACTGGCTTTCGGTTGTAAACCTGATCCTGATATTTCAAGCCTGGAACTTTTTCATAAATAAAATAATATTGAATGAGTGCCATGTTATGCATTATTAACTCTTCTTAACTGTTTGAGGCCTGCGTTCCTGAACAATTTCAACCCTTCTGCCTGAGTTCTTGAGTTAAAATTCGCAAATAATTGGTATGTAGTCTGTCACGATAGATATAAAAAAATAGTTACAAGTGTTTATTCACCGTTCAACCGGTGGCTGAGCATTACGTCATTTTTCTCTACCACCGTTCAACCGGTGGCTAGGCATTACGTCATTTTCTCTACCACCGTTCAACCGGTGGCTGGGCATTACGTCATTTTTTCTCTACCACCGTTCAACCGGTGGCTGGGCATTACGTCATTTTTCTCTACCACCGTTCAACCGGTGGCTGGGCATTACGTCATTTTTCTCTATCACTGTTCAACCGGTGGCTGGGTATTACGTCATTTTTATCTACCTCCGTTCAACCGGTGGCTGGGCATTACGTCTTTTTTCTCTACCACTGTTCAAAATATGGCTGGGTATTACGTCATTTTTCTCTACCACCGTTCAACCGGTGGCTGGGCATTACGTCATTTTTTCTCTATCACTGTTCAACCGGTGGCTGGGTATTACGTCATTTTTATCTACCTCCGTTCAACCGCTGGCTGGGTATTACGTCATTTTTCTCTACCACTGTTCAACCGGTGGCTGGGCATTACGTCATTTTTCTCTACTACAGGTAAAGCGATGGTCAAGATTCAAAGTGTTAATGATGGCTGCTTACTTAATCAGACGATCAGTCGACGAACATCACCATCAGACTCTTCTCTTTTGAGCAGTGCTCACTGTCCCTCACCTGTGTGGCAAGACGAACATTTTAATACTAATTTATAAGATATGATTATATGATAAAAGTAATGATAGCCGTTTCCTTATAAGAAAGCATTTAGCGCTGATTGAACGAGCAGTCCGTGCTACCATCAGTTGAAATTTATGAAATATTGGTATTTATATTCCAGAGAATGTAAATAAATCTAAGACATGCCTGTGTAGTTAATAAGTATTTGATTGATTCGTTTTCTGCTCAGTGGCTTTTTATTTCTCGTTCCAGCAGTGATGGAGTTTCCTTCCTTGCTTTTTGTTTCAGGTTGTGTGGAACATCAACATTATTTATGTCATTGTTCATTCTTCTAGTAATACTTGCAATCCATTTTAGTTGTTGGTACGGTTGAAAGTCCTCAAGAGATGTGGTTTCTGTTAGTTGGTAGAGTTCTTTGTTATTCTATAGCTGCAGTCGACGATATTCAAAGAAGGTTGATCCTAGTTGAGACCTGCACGCTTTACTCGCTCGAGGCCATCTTTAACCATCGATCGGAACAGGCGTTTGTTTAGAACTGACAGTTTAGATATTTCTGAACGTGTTTAACGCCATGCGTGTTATCCTTATGGACTTCTCGATCTGATGAAACTATTTAAGAACATGCCTTTGAGATTTTAGCTTAATGTTTTAACTTACATTATTTACATTATTCGGACTATTACTTTCATCTTTGTCGCCATATTTATTACAACGTTTCGGCCGTTGTACGCTCCGGCCTTCTTCAGGTGGTTGGAATGTCGAACAGAAACCTTTATTTCGCTCACTGGTGTAGACTGTTCTAGTTCCACGTGCCAAGTTTAATGGATGTCAGTTGTCAATTATCTCCTGTTAATTCCCCTCCCCAAGTTTTCCACTGCCTTCACTCTTTGGGTCCTGTCACTGGATCTAACCAACACCTTTATCCACTGTCCCATGTGTCCTCAAGGACGGCATTAGATCCAGTGACAAGACCCAAAGATCAGGAGATTTTGATGAGCGTGCAGCCACCTCTTAATTGCTGGTGTTCCCAGGTACACCCTGATCCGGGATCGTAACACCTATTAGGATTCTAGCTATGAGCAAATAGTTAACCTCCAAACTGAGGTCAAAATATGTAAAAATAGGTTTTAATACCAGAAAAATATTTTTACCAGTAATAAATTTTTGAAAAAATATTATTACCAGCAATTCATTATTACCAGTAATACATTTTTGGAAAAAAATATTACCAAAACTACTTTTTTGGAAAAAAGATATTACCAGCAATGAAAATGTTGTCGTCATTAAATAACCCATTAAGGTATTGACATGCCGTAAAACAAACGAAACTAAACCAATCTAGACGAAAGAATACATATTCTATTCATACGAATCTATTCTAAAAATGTTGTTGGTATTAAATAACCCATTGAAGTGTTGATATGCCTTACAACAAACGAAACGAAACCAAAACCTAACCCTAGCCTCTAAACCGTGGGGCTCTAAATACAGGAACTTAATATATCAAGTTCCTATGGTTACAAAATTTTTAGTTTGCAAGGAGTAAAAAAAAAAATGACGCAGAAAACTTGTAATGCTTATTGTAATTACTTGTAATGACATAATTAAACTGTTCTACAAATCTTCAAGAAATTAACAGCTTGAGAGATTATGGACACAACTAAAACGATGTCCAAGACTGAATGTCCGGGAGAGAGATTAAAATGTTTCATTCTCAAAAATCAAAAGATGTTAACCTTTGACCCTGAACACAATCAGTTTCTCTCGTCGACGAGTTTTTTTGTTTTTTTTTAGGCTCTCGTAATTTAACCCCTTCTCTGACGTAGACGTATATATACGTTTCACCAAAAGTATCTTTTTTTTTTTTCAGCACGGACGAATACTGCTGAAAAATCAGCTACAGACATGTTTATACATCGATCTTTGATTCATTTTATGTCCTTCAGACCTTGAAACGGGTTTAATTGTCTGCCTAT